AATTTGAGGGCAGACATATAAAAAATGATTTATTTAATAATTGTTAGTTATATTGTAATTTTTTTAAATACCGTTATTTAAAATAGTATATTCTCTGTATAACTTCCTTCTCACATGGAAAAATAATATTTTTATTATGTTTCTACTAAATATTAATAACAGACTAAAATATGTCGAAATCTGATACAATTATTTTAAATATCTTTAATCTGTGAATAGATATTTTTATAGTTTTTTTTTAATAAATCCAAGGCATTTATATTCAAAATACAAATTTTGAAAGATTTCTTGTCAGACTAAAGTAGGGGGTCGAGACAAACTTAACAATATCTCAACAAGGGGGTCAATATATCTTAAAAAACAATATATGATTGGGAGTTATATCAGAGAAGCAGCAGCACTTGAAAATATTTGAATTGATTAATAAATCTTTATAATACATACATTGATATTTGTTTTATTAATTCTTCATCCCTATCTTGCAATCTCTGCTGAAACTAGTGCTAAAAAAATACATTTAGTTAACATAAAAGGCAAATGCTTGATATGAAACTATAAAACCTACCTTGGTAGAGTCGTATCTTCTATTTTTACATTGTTGATGTGGGTTTGTGATCTGAAAAAATAAAGCAAAGCTTTAATAACTATTAAGATAATTGTTACACAATAGACTTATAGACTTGTCTTAGTTTTAATGCATAACTTATGCATTTATTACATTACTTCATCTACTAATGATCAACTATAGTTACAAACTATTGTATTTACTACTGCTATATAAATTATACTCTACTGTAGAGTATTTCAGACACAGTATATATTTTCCTGTATATATTATTCATCAAAATATGTATCATTATAAAACTTACCTTATATTATTGGCCTGATAAAGCTATCTTTAAAAAAGTTACTGCAATCTTCGACGAATGATGTTTGGATTCTGTACTTCGCTGAAACAAAGAACAAAGCAAATTATTATATGGATACTTATTTATAATACATATTCGTTAGGTTTTAATACAAATACATAGTTTAGACCATTTTAGACCATGTTTAGACTGTTTTTTCAATCACCGGTAAAGTTTTGCTAAATGAAATAGTGAAATATTAACTGTTCTTACCACTACAATACTCAAACTATAGCTGGGACACATAAATATGTGATTAGTATGTTCTTGCATAGGCATATAATCAAAGATTTTCTTTAATTTCTTAGATTTTTCTTGATTTTCAAAGAAAAATAAATAAAATTTTTATTAGGGTTAAAATCGTTAATAATACTATTTTCTACGCATAGATGGCTCTGATTCAACACTTTTTTGGACCTCAAAATTACAGATTTCTTTAAAAATGTCGTAAGTCTGGTAATTTTTTGTTAGATGTCAGCAGAACCGTAAATTACAGACAGATTCCTAATCAAAAATCAAGTTAGCTTTCAGATTTCTTTGTTAGATGTCACCACCTATTTACGACTACAGATCGCTTTAAAATGGTGGTGATGTTTAGCGCAATCCTTCGATAGGTGGCGACAGGACCTGAAATACAGGTACCTTTACCTTAATTTTATTAGTTCCTAAGTTGCCCACAAAATCTCAAAAGCTGAAAACAATTTACCGCCAGTTTTTGAAAAATCGCCCTTTATGAAAAATAGTACTTTTACAGCTGTTGTTATATACTACTGAGCCAAACTTAACGACATATTGTAAGTATTAACAGCTATTTTTCAATAATAAACTAGGTAAATGTTATAAGAAAGAAGGAAAAAGGGGATAATAATTTATTTATTCATTATTCATCAAAACAAACACTCATTTCAAAGGTTAAGAACTTTATTTTAGAGATAATAAACTTTGAAACGTGTTTTCTAAAATTTATTTACAAAAATAACTCTCACAAATAGAAAATAAATACATTTTAAGCATATCCAATGCGGAAATCATACAGCAAATATGTCGCAACGTAAAACAAACGCGTAATGGCATATAAAGAGATCAGGGCAGGCTGAATAAATTTACAATATACATTCTATTAGAATATTTTTTGGATTTAGACTAGAAGGTATGTTTACATTAACAAAAAAAATAGTTACTCTTTTATTTTGTAGTTATTTGTGCATTTCCAATAGTTCCCTCAAAGCTGAAATATATGACTGAGCCATCTGTAGTGTCTCGAATTTACTGAGTTTCTGCTCAGCATCTAAACTAGGTATCACCTTCCTTAATCTGTCAAAAGCTTCGTTCAATCTAAAAATAAAAAATGCCATATAAGATGTTCATAGACCATACAACTTATCGGACGACAAGTTGTACAGCGGGTTTAAACAATTTACCCGTTCATTCTTCTTCGTTCCCGGGCATTAGCTGCCAGTCTTCTTCGTTTCAGGATCGTAGGAGACGGTGGTCTATCTCTGACGATACGTTTTCGTTTTTTTTTTCTGCTTTTGAAATTTAAATTTTTGTTGTTGTTGTCGAAGTCATCATCTTTGTGAAGCGTGAAGAAATTGATGTTTCCTAGAACAACATTTAAAATAGTGATGAATAAATATACAAGACCAAAACTAGAGGATCTTCTACATAGAAGTTCCTTAAATAAATAGTATTTTAATTATATTATTTATTTTTCTAGGGTTAATAGTGTAATCTTTTATGTTGGCTTCAGATACCTTTAAGAAAAAAAAGTATCTATATGTTTCACGCTCTCTAAGGTTGATTTTTTTTAAATTGACGAAAATTACTGTAGGTACTCACCATAGCTGATTTTTCTTCGGCTAACGAGGAAGCGGATAAAAATGACTCGTAAGTGTTGTTGTTGTCATAAATATCCGGCGAGGTGGTAGCCGCTAGTTGGGATTGGGCCTTCAAATTGATGGCGTCTTCTACTTTATGAAACCTCTCTATAGTGTTCCTGGTCGATGGCGGACTTGTTATAGAAATCCTGACGATGATAGTCGTCGTAGTAGCCAGTTGTGGTGTCAACTGGGTCCTCGAACGAGGAATAGTGGCATTTTATGACGTCCATACGAGAAAAAAGTCAGATTTTCTAGAAATAGATTTCAATAAATTTTAATCAAGTGCACAGTGCGCCACTGAATTTTTTTTTTCTTCTTAGCAAAATTGTGTAGGCCGTTTGATGGCGATGATAATTTGTCTCTAGATATTTTGTTGATTTCGATCTCCTTGATGGGATAGACGCAATTTCATTAATAACAATTATTAACAAAAATAAAAATAAAATTAATAAATTATTTATTTAATTTAATTTATTTTTTTTGTCTTATTAACATTATTCAAATTTATAACAATTATGTTCAGAGCAACCTACAGCAAATTAAAAAAAATAATAATAATGGTATTTAAGATAATTACAAAAAAACTGTCTTTAAAACTATGCATTTTTACCTCCCATATTTTGTAGGAACATTTTTTCATATTTTTTGATGGGGAATCAATGTGTGCTTATCTAACAATTTGGTCAGTTAATGACATTAATTTTTTTAAAGGTTGCTTTTATTGACTTTCTTAATCCAAATTAATAAAATTACGTTTAACTCATCAATTTCGCTAACAATATAAATAAAAGTCAGTGGCGCACATGTTTTTTGAAAGAAATATTTCAGTGATATCCCATGTGCACGTCCCTGGTGAATATGTCGATACTTTGTTAGCACTAAAATATGTCGCACTTATAGTAACTACCGCCCTCAAAATTTTATTCAAATCGTTAAAGGCAATTGGAAGAAAATTTTAATAAATAGAAAAAAAAATGAAGATTTTACCTCCCTGTAGGTACGAAACAAAGCAGAGTCGGTCTATGTTGATGTAAAAATAAATCTTATTTTACGTGAGGAATTACCCTAATGAAGACGTGGCACGTTTTTAAACACCCTGTAGACTTATGTGCATATTTTACTGTTTTGTAGGTGTATTGGTTTTCCCACAATTATTTTTATGGAATAAATTTTAAGAAACCACTCTGTACAGGGTGGTTCAGATTCGACGCTCACATGTTTGCCAGAAACATCAAATAAAAAAAAACTTAAAAATTCGTTTACAATTTGAAATGTAAAACCTTAGTTTGAAAAAAATCATTATAACAAAAAACAACTTGGAGTACTTACCTTAAAAAATAAATTCACAACAAATTAACTTCTCACATATTCAGAACCTGTATATTTATTACATTATTTGTTGTTTTCTTCTAGAACAAACAAACAATTCATTTATTTCCAAACCACCAATCATATTTCTGATATATTTTCTCTTCATTGGCATTCTTCCAAACACTAATATTTTTCACGCGCAACCAAAAAATAAACCGATAAAAAAGCGCGTCAAAAATGAAACAGAAAAAAAATGTTGCGGAAGACAATGAATGTCTGATACCGGAAGTAATGTGGAGCTACCGAAGACCAGATAAAAGGTAGAAATGGGACTGACCTGCCTTTTTGGTCGTGTGCCGGCACGTGCCGTCATTTAGTTCGAGCAACACCCCTAACACAGGGCTGGCTTCAGAATTTTTCATTTTTAATAAGTAAATTTTGTGGCGGCTTCAGAAAAAATTGCCCTAGGTTGGTCGCACTTATTTATTAAAAAAAAAAGTTATTATAACAAAGATCGCATGATGATTATAGTAGATATTACGTTTCATAATAAAATATTTAAATTTTGACAGAAATATTACTATTTATTGATTGGGCCTTTTTAAATTTCCCTGTCTAAAATTACTTTTTTTTTTGTTTATAACAATATATTCTGGATACTAACCTGATGAAGTAAATCTTCCAGTTTTCTTACATCAATGTACTTCAACTTCTCACTCCAAAAATCTTTTGGACTCATCAACATTACTCCAATAGAACCTGTTGAAAGAATATATATTTAGTTAGTTTTATAATTTTACTATTTTATCGAAAATCATTATTATTTGATAGATGTTAAAAATTAAAATAATATATTCAGGACTTTGAATAAGAAGACTAAGGAAGGAGCATAATGCTATCCACGTATTCATGCATGGTGGGCGGAAAAAGCACTCTAGGGTGGGGATCCTTGACAGTTCTGTTTGACGATTCATTGATTCAATTGACACATTTGAATTTGATTTGAAATTTTATGGATTTGTCAGTCTTTAAGGAGCTTATTTTATGTTATTTATTCTACTACTGATAGTTGTATAAAGGTAGTAAATCTAGATGGAAATTGTGGCAGAACTTAAATTAACAGTGACACTATCGCGATTTATCACAAATGACTCTAAAATAGTTGGTTGTGTAGCGTGCGGTAGATCTCGGCAAAAATCGAGTGAAATAATGGAACAAGTTTTCGCTAGTAAGTGACTATATAATATACTCTAAGTGATAATATAATATACATACGTGTAGTAAACCGATCATTTATGAAATTCACTTAAATTAACTAATTATGTATTTTTTCTTGCATTTTTGCTTTTATTTACTACTTGTCAAAGATTAGATGTCAAAGAATTTAGATACGTCAATTTGACTTACCTGTTTCAGTAGCGTATCGGATGTTTATAGTTATAAATAATTATTATAACTTATCTATTTTTATTAGAATTTTATATTTTATAAGAATTTTAATAACTACCAACATTTATTCACAACGTAAAATAAAAACAAAATTATTGAATCTACCTATAACGTCTACCCTACATCATAGTTTTACATTTTTTAAATAAAATTAGAACGGCACTGATAAACCGGAAATTAAGTCGGCCATATTTGAGGCCCATCGCGGTGGACCTAAGATTTTTGATATGCTCTTTACGTGATCTGTGATATGCTCCTTCCTTAGTCTTCTTATTCAAAGATTCAGGATCACAACCTAACCTAACCTAACCAAACCATGGCGATAGCAGCCATCTTGATCGCTATTTTTTTTTGAAAAAACGCTTTTTGTTCAAAATCTCAGTTAGATAGGCATAGGAAACGGAAAATATAGTTTGAAAGAGCATTTGAATCTGCTTCGATATATTTTGAAAAATACAGGGTGTTGCATTTGAAATAACGAAGTTTTTATATAAAATATATCCTTAAAATAGATCAGCAATTTTTGGTACTTCTGTATAAATTTAATAAAGCAATAACATTTTTCAGTAAAGTTTATTTCTCTACCTCACCAAACTCAGCACAAAAATTAGTTCTGAAAAGTAATGTACAGGGTGTTAATAATATATTCTACTGTAGCATGCATATTTAAATATCTTTAAATATCTCAAAAACCAAAGATTT